AGAGGCATTGAACAAATGGCAGATCAACTCAGAAGGCCACTTGAGTCCATAGTTAAAAGTCTCAGTATGCTGATACAAATCTTAGAAGTAAAAGTGGAATACTCTGAAAGCCAAAGTCACTATCTGAATGTGTGTCCCTGAAAAGGGCTGTAGAACAGGAAGAAGAGGAGTGCGTGTTTATTTTTCTCCTCCAATATCCAACATCTGCCTCTCTCTCTCTACATTTCACAAAAGCCCCACACAGAATGTGCATGCACGGCATTGAGACAATGTTTCTTCACTACACAACCCTCCAAGGATGTTAGAATTACAGGAAATGAGCATAATATTCACACATACACACATCAAATTATGAAAGAGTCAAACCATTCTTCGGCTCTAGAATATGAAAGATTCAAGATACAAATCTTTTGGGATTTATCAGCTGAAATTCTGAGAAAATATTAAACACTTGAACTACAGTTTGAGAGAAGATATCACTGGGGAGTTCCCTGCAAATTGCTCATAAAAACCAAATCATGCCAGTATTCGATATCTAATGAGCTACTGAAATATGTGCTGTGTATTTCATATCAGAAAGTTCAGACATCAATATCTTCAAAAGCAAAAGAAAGGAATTCTAATTCAATTTCACCTGAACATTATATGTCCAATCAGAAATGGAAGGTGGAATGTGTGTGCTCTTCATTTCTCACTCTATATATTCTTTATTTTATAAGATTGCTGGTCCTTTTGTCTTTCTTCCCAGACACACGTGCATAGAATACATACTGTTTGAGGCTCCTCCTGGTAGGAAAAGTGCTAAGCTTTGTTTATTCTTATTTCCTATAAATAAATCCCCTTTCTCTTATACCTCTAAAATTTGCTTCATTCGTCCTTGCTCAGATCTGATTCCTGTTTTCAAGATCACTCACACATACAGCCAGAACATTTCAGCCTCCAATAATAATAAAATTCTGTATTGTTTTGCCGATAGAGGTTGTTGCTATTCTTGATATCACAATATAAAACTTTGGTCCTCACACTTGCATTTAACGTAAGTCATGGCGAACTGGGAATGAGCAGACACTGAACTTAATTTCTCTGACACAAAGAATCTTTTTTAGGACTATCTTCTAGCACTCTGTGTTTATATTAATTGGTTTATTGGTTTTTAGATTCTTATTCTTTGGTTTTGTTACAGTTTAAAAAAAACAACAACCTTCCACTGTCTGAAACTCTTAGCAGGTCAATGATTACAGGACAGCATTCAATCTGTACTCTTTTCTCAGTTGGTAATATCTGATACCAAATTTATGTTCTTAAATGTAAATAATTGTGGTTCTGTTGTGAAACACGTCAAAGTTCTTAAAACAATTAATGATAAACCCAACTGCTAGATATTCTATATTTTATTCTTCCAGCTCTAAATCATATCCTAGGATTGATTCCTTTTTTATCTCTCATAAAATAGTTTTTAATATATCCTACTTGAAGCCAGGGATTATCATCCTCAGTCATTATGAGGTCAAAGTAGGACCTGTAACCCACATCTATATATGTGTGTGTGTGTACTTCTGTATGTGTGTGTGAATATGTACGTGTGTTTAGACACACACACACACACATTCCTGCAATCCTATTCCTGGCTTCCTACTTAGAAAACATAAGCAATCAAGAGAAACTATTAACATTTTTATAAGGAAACACTGTGCACTGTTACGGGATGTTAATGAGGCATTTAAAGGATTTTATGAAAAAAATTCTCAGACAAATGTTTATCAGTTGGTACTGATAACATTTTAGTAAACCTGAAACTGTCATATATATCAGGAATGCTCACCAGTCTGTTTCTAATTATGAAATGAAAGGTCATTAAATCATTAAAATCAGGAACAAGTCATTAAACCATTGGACTTCAGAGCAAGGCATGTTTTTAATTAATTTCTGCAAAATGTTAAAGATGTGCTGTCTTGTCATTTAAAGACTGTTAAGTTATATTGATAAATAGAACTTTATTACATATATTACTACTTATTCTAAAAGAAAACATCATACTGGAAAGCTGGAAAGATGGCCATATTGTTGTGCTATCACAATGGAACAAGATATTACCAATTACACTTTTAAATCAAGATTAAAAAAATCTTAGCTGCAATTTTAACCAAAAGGATTAACAGCATTATTATCTCATTTATGCTTGGACACAACCTGGCAGATTCTATTCACAGGGTATGGAATATAATTCATCATGGTCATTAATTCTATATCTAAGGCTTTAACTTTTTTGTCCTTAGATGCACTCAAAGTGTTTGAAGATTAGACTGGCTTCAAAATTAGAATTCAGGAATGGTTTCATAAGTTAAAAGGATGTATGCCTGTTCAAGAACCATCCTTAGCACTAATAGGCATGATTTTAGACCAGTTACATTAAGCAGAGAGATAAGAAGCCCCCCTACTGTGTGCAATTGGAATAAAGCCATAGCCTACATTTTACAGCATAGGGGTATGATGGAAGCATTATGACATCATCAAACATGCACAAATGACATCAATAATGCAAGTATGCAATTTGTAACACTTGCAAATTACATACCTGCATGCATATACTTGCCCCTCTGCACTTGCCCCCATACACTCTCCTCTCCTTGTGGATATCCAATCTGTTATGAATTTCTTCACAAGTTACAAGAGTTAATACTAAAAATAAATCCCATCCACTTGGCATTTTTGCTAATGACATATTTGTTTGTTACTTCCAATCCACCATCATTAGTACTCTATATACTGTACATTCCATATAATCTTGGTATTCAAAATTAATATAGGAAAAGAAATGAAATATAGAAACTTTAAAAGTTACACAAAGTACATAGCTCAATTAAAACTCACCTATTGCGGATTCAAATTTCTAAGAATTATTGTCATTAAAGATACAGAACAACTTTAAATTGTTCTTAAAATTCTATCTTCTTATGCTGGTTGACCAGAATGAAAAAAAACCCCCAAGTTTTAGGAAGACAATTAAAATGATGATACTTCCCAAATTATTATTATTTTTCAATACCAAATGATTACTTCTATTTAGAAACAAGCTCTCTGAATGGAAAAGTATGAGAAACTGTATTAGATTTGCCAGTGCAGTTTTATACTGATTGAAGCACCAAGGAGGCTTTGCTGTATGTAATCTGAAGTTTTTATTTTGATGCATTTCAACTAAATCAATTAATGCATCTGCATTGTCATTATCTGCATGACGATAGAACTATCTTCTGGGACATAACTGAGGAAACAAATGGGGATATGGGCCCTTCCCTTTTACAATGGTAAATTGCTTTTCAATAAAAGACATTACCCAACGATTTACTGGTAGAGCAAATGGAGATGAAATCTTTAGTTCTCCCCCCACCCCCTGATTCTTTTTTAGATCATCCCAGCTGTAAGTATATATAAAGATAACAATTTACTATATAAAGATTGGATGCCCAGAAAAGCATTTAGATTAAAAGGTTGTTTCCATAGTGAAAATATTTTCACTGAGATAAGCAAGACAAACTGCATCTAATATGGATGCAATAATTTCAAATTACCACCATTACAGCCACTTTAATTAGACAACAGAGAATTCCAAATGAATAAACATTTTTGAGAAGTTATGCTTAGCTGCAGTTAGTCACGTTAGCCGAATGGTTCCATCCCTTTACAGAGGTTTTATTGATATTATAAACACATCAAAGATAAAACTAACTTGGGAAATAGATCTTGACAGACCAATCCCTTATGAGCAATGGCAGTAGAGTATTTTTTTTTATTTTTATATTTGTAAAACTACATTGCTCAAATTAGAAAAGTGACTATAAAACATCACCAGCCACACTGAATGTGAACAAACTTTATTACGGTCAGTGACCAGTGCAAGTCAAACTTCATATGACTAACAGACAAGTGACTCCTAACTGTTGGAGGGGTTGTGGGGTAGAAGATACAGTCAGAGTTATGTGGATTGAATGCCTGTTGGTAAAATGCTTTTGGAACCAGCGATTAAGAATTATTTCTTAAACAGACTTTTAATTTTTGTAGAGCTACAGTGGTACCTCGGGTCACGAACGCTTCTGTTCACGACCAATTCGGGTCACGAACAGCACCGTTCGCAA